GGGGTGGGAAGGGAGAGGGGAGGATCAGAGAGGGCCCAGCTCTCTGGGATTGCTGCCCAATCTGCGGGGAATAAAGGTAGGGCAGTGCTGCTCCTGGGGGGCTGCTTCCTGTCCCACATCTTGCTGAACTTTGGCCCTGCAGGTCACTTTGGGCCTGATGCAATGATGCCAGTGGCAGCAACAACTGGATCTGGGCCTGGCTGGGGCAGGCTAGTCACCTCCCACACAATCAATGGCAGGCACAAAACCCGAGTACCACTGCGACCTTGTGTGCCAGGTCATACCACCACTCAGATTTGTTCTGACCTGGCCTGATTTCTGTGGATATAATTGCAGCCAAGGATCCCAACTAAAGTTGCCTCTGCTGTGCTGTAAAGTACAATAGATTGCTAATTCTTTACTAAAATATATGAAAAGGCCTTTTCCAAAGCAAATAAATGAAAAAGAAACTATCAATGAATCTTCTACAATTTGTACATAAAAGCTCCATTCTGCAAGGTGCTAGGCCTTTCAGCTTGCACTGAATTTCCTTTTGGTTGGCCTTTTTATATAAAAAGACCCATAGCAATTACAGCACATACACTGCCTTTTTTTTAAAAAAAAAAGGTATTTCCAGTTATGTATTACCAATTTCTTTGCTTCTCCATCATCTCAAAAATAAACATTAACTTTTTGAAAAAAAAAAAAAATCAGGAAAAATTCTTAGTATTCTCCTTTTCTTATTCTGGAGAATTTATTTTAGTTTAGCTGATTTAAACTGAGTTATGTACTTGCATGTGGTATTATTTTCCATAATAAAGTTTTATTCTATTTGACTTTTTAAGCAGTTCATCTCTATTTCTTTTCACGAAACTAATTACCTTATCAAATCATTCCCACGAGAAATAGTGTCATGTTATTTTTCTTTGTCAATGTTCAAATGCAGGAGGAGATAGGAGATGCAATACTGTAGAATTCTCAATGGGATACTATTTATGTGGCCAATAAGCATTTTCTAAAAACTAATGAGCCCAGTCTCGGGAACTTCATAAATGCTTCCTAAGCTTGTACCATTATTTCACACAATATATTACTTTGGTTGGATACACTTTTTAGTGTTATAGAGTTACAAAGCTGGAGTGCTACAAAAAGTAATGATAGACTTTTGTATGTATGTTCTTCATCTTAAAAGCAAAACACATATATATATATATATATATATATATATATATATATATATATATTGGAAGCCAAGAAAAAGTAACGAAAATGACACTTTAAAGTTGGTATTGAAAAGACAGATCCTTAACTGGTGTAAGTTGACACAGCTTATTGGCCTCAGTGGATCTATGCCAATTTACACCAGCTGAGGATCTGGACCTCGGTCTCTCTGTTGTAGGTAGCCAGGAAAATTATTGCCATTGGTGGGGAGCCAGGTGTTTCGAATATTGGAGCTGTATATTGGATTTTATATTTATATTGTAAATGAATAACAGCCTGTTTTTGTAATCTATATAAAAAGCTCATACTGAGTAAAATAATTCTTCTTTACCATATAGAAATCATACTATAGCAGCGTAAATTTATACTTAATATGGTTCATTTCATTCTGGGGCTCTTATTTTGAAATATAGGCTTATAAACAGAGGAATCAATATAGTAGTTTCAAACTCAGGCACTCTAACTGACCGATCTGTTACAGGTGGTGTTCCATCTTTATATACTTTTTGGTCCCTAAATCTTACAATATTGTTTTCAAAATGCAAGATAAAAGCATGACTGGCATCTGAATTGATAGCAATGAATGTATATCATATTTGTTCACACCAGAATGTGAAAGCTCTTTAAGAGTTTCACTTGTGATATACCAACTTATGGTTACAATGCTGACTGCTGAGAAACAACTGGTCTTTGCAGGACTAAGGCGAAATTCTGTAAGATTCTATTTAATGAGCTTGCGATTATTGCTGTGGTGCTTCTAGCAAAGCATGTGCAGAACCTTGTTTATGATTAAGGCTATGTTTTAGTCACAGGTATTTTCACTAAAGTCATGGACAGGTTGGGCTGTAAACAAAAATTCACGGGCCTGTGACCTGTCCATGACTTTTACTAAAAATACCGCTGTGACTAAAACTTGGGCGGGGGGCCATGGGTGCTCTGGGGGGGGGCGGGGGAGGAGGGGAGTCCAGGGGCACCACTGGTGCTGGTGGAGGGGGAGGAGGCTGGCCATGGCGCAGCACACAGCCGGGGACCCCCGCTGGTGCTGGGGCGGGAGTGACCACGACACAGCAGGGCTTCTGACCTGGCTCCGCGTCCCTCAGCTCCCATTCGCTGGGACCTGCAGCCAATGGGAGCTGCGGGGGCGAGGCCTGTGGGTGCAGATACCCCCCTGGCCCCTCAGCCACCTAGGAGCTGCAGGGGGGCCATGCCAGTGGGAGTCGGGGAGTCCCCGACCCCAGGTAAGTGCCTCCCCCTGCACCACCCAACCCCTCTCCCCCTAGTCCCCTCCCACACACTCAAACTGCTGCTGCTGGCCCAGGGGTTTCCTGGCTTGGACAGCCCCTGAGCCAGCACCAGTGGCTGCAGAAGTCATGAAAGTCACGGAATCCGTGACCTCTGTGACAGACTCACAGCCTTATTTATGATATATCCGCCAAACATTTTATACCAATGTGCTGCATTGATGGAAACTAGTAGCATGCTCTCAGCACTGGAGAAGTTACAAAGATATCCTGGTGAGTAGGCTGCACAATCTGCCAATGCTCAAGATAAGTAATAGAGAGACCCAACACAACTTAGATGTTGTGAACACATACTAAATGGTAGACATACTAGAGAATGCATTCAGCCAAATAGGCCTCTGCTTGGAATGACTGACCTTTACAGTAAGCCTGAAGATAGTCTTCCACTGAATATTATTTCCATCAACAATTGTTGATTCTGGACTGTTGTTTTTTTGGGTATTACTGTGTCATCCACTGTTTCTTTGTTTCCTTCTGCATTTTGAAATACTTTTCAAAAATACCTGTACCAACACCTATCTATGGGATTCCTCTGCCTCTATACAGATTCAAGAAAGAAATCAGAACTAGATAAGAAAAATGAAGATGGAGGAGGTAACTTTGACAAGGACATTTATTTTATGAGATCAAAGTCCAGTTACAGTTTTGCTCTTGACACATGGATGAAGCAATGATCCCACCAAATATCTATGACAGGGAAGACTCAGATTCATAGACTTTAAAATCAGAAGGGACCATCATGATCATCTAGTCTGACCTCCTGCAAATTGTAGGCTACAGAACCTCACCCATCCACTTCTGTAATGGATCCCTAACCTCTGGCTGAGTTATTGACGGCCTCAAAACATGGCTTAAACATGCAATTTACAGAGAATTAACCATTTACATGGTTTAAACCTGCAAGTGACCCATGCCCCATGCTGTAGAGGCAGGTGAAAAACCCACAGGGTCTCTGCCAATCTGATCCAGGGAAAAATTCCTTCTCAACCTCAAATTTGGTGATCAGTTAGACCCTGAGCATGTGGGCAAGACCCACCAAGCAGATACTTGGGAAATAATTCTCTGTAGTATCTCAGAGCCCTTCCTATCTAGTGTCCCATCTCCAGCCATTGGGATTTTTGCTGCTGGCAGTAGCTGATGGGCCACATGCCATTGTAGGCAGTCCCATCATACTATCCTCTCCATAAACTTATCAAGCTCAGTCTTGAAGCCAGTTAGGTTTTATGTCCCCACTGCTCCTCTTGGAAGGCTGTCCCAGAACTTCACTCCTTTGATGGTTAGAAATCTTCGCCTAATTTTGAGCCTAAACTTGTTGACGGCCAGCTTATATCCATTTGTTCTTGTGTCCATACTGGTGCTTAACTTAAATAACTCCTCTTTCTTTATCCCTCTTATGTATTTAGAGAACACTTATACCTCCCCTCAGTCTTCTTTTGTTTAGATCAGCCATTCTCAAACTGTGGGTCGTGACCCCATTTTAATGGGGTCACCAGGGCCAGCATTAGACTTGCTGGGACCCAAGGCTGAAGCTGAAGCATGAGCGCCATCCCCACCTGGGGCAGCAGAGCTCGGGCTGTGGTCCCCTCTCTTCCCACCCAAGGCTGCGGGACCTGGTCTCTGCTCCCCTTCTGGGATCATGTAGTAACTCTGTTGTCAGAAGAGGGTCGCAGTGTGATGAAGTTTGAGAACCCCTGGTTTAGACTAAACAAGCCAGACTCTTTGTGTCTCCTCTCAAAAGGTAGGTTTTCCATTCATAGTAGTCATTCTTTGCACCAGTGCCATGCGTAATGGTACTAACACTTCCTGTCTCTACTGGAAATACCTTGCCTGATGCATCATAGAATTACATTAGCCTTTTTCACGGCGTATTACACTGATGGTTCATAGTCATCCTGTGATCAACCAATACACCCAGGTCTTTGTCCTCCTCTGTTGCTTCCAACTGATAAGTCCCCAGCTTATAGCAAAAATTCTTGTTATCAGTCTGATGTGACAACCTTCAAAATTTGAAATCTTTCTAACTGTTTCTCATCACCTGCCTCTATAGGACAAATCAGAGGCCCAGAACACAATTAGAACAACAAGTGGTGGTCAGATGAATGGGGGATGAGGAAGGAATCCTCACCTCTAAGACCATGAGCTGGCTGAGAAACCTCTCTGATGAGCTGAAGTAGCTTGACACATTGGCAGCACTCCATGTGAGGAGAGGAAGAGAATCCAGGCAGCAGTGGATCCACCAAACAGACCTGGGTGAAATTTTTTGCCTGAAAGCTTTTCCAGCAAACAAACAAAACCAAAAAGCAGTTTTGGGAACACTAAAATATTTCACGAATTTGGGTTGATTTCACTGAATTGTTTCAGTAAAAAAAAATCCAAAAAATTGAAGCATTTTGACATTTTCACAATTTTTCTATTCAAAATGACTTTTTATTTCAAAATTTCCTTTCATTTTATTTTTAAAAATTTAAACAAAGAGGAAATTAATTGACATTTTCTTACCTTTGCATTGTAGGGAATATAATGCTTTGATAAAGCCTCAGGAGTGTGCATCCATGTTTTGTCTGCAAAAAAGCAAAACAAAAAAAATTGCATTAGATTAAATGCCTTATTCATTCTTATTGTACCTTAAAATGCATCAAATATCCTAATTTTATTCAGATAAGTATATTTCTATCGTAGGTAATAATAAAGGGCCCCATTACCACAGTATCTCAGCTCCTCACAGACTTTAGTGAATTTATCTCTGTGAGGTAAAGCAGTACTATTATCCCACTTTTACAGATGGAGAAATGAGGCACAGCTAATGGCCAAATTTGTAAAGGTACTTGGTGTCTAAAGATACAGATAGGCATCTATTGGGATTTTCAAAAGTGCCAAAGTGCCTGATTCTCTGATGCTAAAAGATACCGATTTACATCATTAGGTACCTAAATACCTTTACAATTCTGGGCCTAACAAACTTGTCCATAATCACACAGAAAGTCTGTGGCAGATCAGGCACTTGAATCCAGGTTTCCCCAGTCCCGGGGTAGTACTCTACACTGGTACACCGGAGTATCCTTCCTCTCCTGAGTACGACCACTTTGTAGAATTGCTGTACATTATCTCTAACCAAACAGAAAATAATCAGCAGAGTTGTCTGGTATTGGAGGTACAACAGATACACAGTCATGTGAAAGAGCTTCCTTTCATAAGCATGAATGCAGATCCCCGCACGCCATTTTAAAATCACATATCTTGTTTGTACAAGGCTTCAGCTGCTTCTAACTAACTTATAATATGTCAAAATGTTATGGGAATAATATTAGAACAGTGATGACAAACTATGCTTAACACTGACCGCTAGGTAAAATTCTTGCTGGAAAAAGAACGTCAAATTCGTCCAGTAACTCAATTATTTCAGGAGACAAGATAAGACCAGATAAGCAATGTCAAGCTTTTGTCAAGAAACAAATTTGACTATCCAGAAAGGCTTTGTGACTTTTTAATGGTATATAAAAACTTTTCATCCTGGGCATTTATGAGATTTTCCATTTTAATCACCTTTCACTGAATTTAAAATCAGATCTAGAGCCCTCATCTCTGGATTTCCTCCTCCTCCCTCTGAAAGTGCTATTTCAATCCAAGGTGGGTTTTCCTTGTCTTTCTAATGTTTCGTTCACCATGCAGATGTTCCAAACATTGACTGCTTATTACCCTTATTCTGATATATTATGTTTATAGATCTAGAAGACTATTTTTCTTAGATTTCTCTATTGTATTCATTTATTCAAAAATCAATAAAAAAACAATAAATCAAAAGCAAAACTGTTATCTCCAATATTTCTACAGGGAAGGTTCCTGTAAAAAAATAATGTCTTAAACCATGTTAACAATTAGATACAGAGTTTTAAAACTTTAATCTTTCACTGGATGGCCTAAATAAAATTGCATATCTTCCTTTAATGATCCATCTAAGAAATATACACCATTGTCTTGCATTTCCTGCTGTGAACTTTATTATGCTTTGACAGCATGTGTTAACTGCTCAGTGAAACACATTTGCCTTTCCTTTTCTTTGTAATGACTATTTTAAAATGCCTAGTTTATGTAAAACTAATCTGCTAAAGTTTCAGAAGAATAATTCTGAACATCAGATTTTTAGAAATCCACATAAAACATGATGTAGAGGAGAAATTAAATATTTGGGTTGGGGCCATTTTTTTCAAATGACTAGATGGCATTCCTGATTTTTTAAAATTTGTGATGAATTACTTTGCTCATGATGAGTAGCGTTTACTTATACATATGACTATTCTCATTTCAGTTAGTATGAGTTACGGTTGGAGAATCTGGAACTTTGTTGAATGAACCACCACAAGAGTAGCGTAAGGCAAAATTCTGCCTTTGGATAAGCACATGCAATTCCCTTTGCCTTCAGTGAGTTTTCACAATAACTAAATAATTAACTTTTTCTGTTGATAACACACAAGGATGAACAAAATCCAGCTCATACTCGCTGAGTTGTGCTTGCTCTCGCAGTCTTAACAGGAGTAAAAGCAGTAACACTTATTTTTTTAACTAAACAAAGACCTACGCCTCCGAATTTGCATAAGGAACAGATCTGATTTGTAAGACATATATCTTTACACAGTCACTTTCATAACAAAATCACAACTCAATGGAAGTCATGTGTATAAAAAAAGCTGAATCTGTTCTGCAGCATACAAAGTAGTTCCCTTTGAAAGTGAAGCTCTTGCATGAAAGAACAAGATTTAGCCACGTGTTCCTTAAAGTGGCAAAATTTAATATTTGATATTGTACAGTAGCTATAAATGTGCTTTTGGCTATGGTTGAGGAGCACAGAGCATATCAGGGGTGTAAGGTGGGGAGAGAGGAAGTGTATGCAATGGTGACCTTTCTACTCCCCTGATCCTGGGTTTGCTGTGTGCTGGGCTAATCTCTCAACATAACTTCTGAATTGAAGACTGTTCTACATTAAATCATAGAATCATAATCATAGAATCATAGAATATCAGGTTGGAAGGGACCTCAGGAGGTCACCTAGTCCAACACCCTGCTCAAAGCAGGACCAATCCCCAACTAAATCATCCCAGCCAGGGCTTTGTCAAGCCTGACCTTAAAAACCTCTAAGGAAGGCGATTCCACCACCTCCCTAGGTAACCCATTGCAGTGCTTCACCACCCTAAATCAGCTGTCAATGATGTGATGTGTTATTCTGGGATCACCAGGATGTAATGAACATTTAAAAAATTAAATACAGTTGGAAGACAAAAAATAAAGGAGAAAGCATCATAACCAAGATTAATTTGATCTTATATATTATATTGTATTTTGTAAAAGAATCATACTTTTAAAAATAGGTACACTATTTAGAGGAAGATGAGGGAACAGTGGGTTTGCCAGGTAGCAGGAGGGTCAAGATTAAGAGAGAGAGGTCAGATGAGTGTGTCTATACTGTAATCACTGGGTGTAATTACAACTCAATCTTACATAGCTTTAATCTAGCTAGCTCAGGTACCAGAGCAGTGAAGCTGTGGCAGCTCATTCTCCAGCGCAGGTGATACAAACCCATCAGGAACCCTGAGTAATTACACATGGAGCTAGCCCACACCAAAGCTCACAATGCCATAGCTTCGCTGCTCTGGGGTTGGAGCTAAATAGATTAAAACTAGCTCAGGTATGTCATAATGAGCTGTAATCACACCCCACAATTACAGTACAGACAAGACATACCCAAAACTGGACTTCTCCCTGTTCTTTAAATGAGTGCAGTTCCAAAACACTGCACAATTACACAGGACAGCCTATCTTGAAATGTGAATTTAAAATATTTATGAAAATGTTTGAATGGTTCTGCATTTCTTATGACTGTAAAATTTCCACTGACTTAAGTGGGATACCATCAGATGTCTACGTACATAAGATAAGTCTTTGTTGGTAAAAATATCCCTCATGAAATGTCAGTAAGGCACCTGCAGACCCCCACAAATTTGTTTGGCAATGTCAGAAGAAATAATAATTACGGCCTAATTTTACGTCCAAATAACTTCATAGACTCATAGACTCTAAGGTCAGAAGGGACCATTATGATCATCTAGTCTGAACTCCCGCATGATGCGGGCCACAAAAGCTGACCCACCCACTCCCGGAAGAATTCTCTCCCTTGACTCAGCTGTTGAAGTCCCTAAATCATGATTTAAAGACTTCAAATCGCTGAGAATCCTCCAGCAAGTGACCCCATCATGCTTAGGTTATTCATTTAGCTTCACTTTGAAAAATCAACTTTTTCCCCCAACAGGACCAGTTCAATTCTGGTCCCCATAAGATCAATGGCAAACTCCCACTGACTTCAATGGGCAAGGATTTCATTACAGATTTCAGTGCGAGGTCATCTCCCTACCCACCAGCTCCAGAATGTGATGCAAGAGACTTACAGGGGTTGTGGTAAGGAAGGAATACTATGGGTAATGTGTCTATCATGACCTCTGTGTTTGTGCAGGGAAGATAAGGGGTTGGAGCTTTGCTGCTAAAAAGAAGGAAGGGGGAAAACTGATGTACCTGGCCAGGGTCTTGTTAAAGTGGGAGACATCTTGATTCTTTGAAGGACCCATACTATTCACCATAGAACTCTAATGGCACTTCTACATTACCCCTCAGTTCGGACTATCAATATGTCAATAGCAGTGAGCACCAAAGAGCTGTGCTTTAGCTCACCCATGTGGACACTGCAGGCGCAAACTAAAAGGTTCCTAGTTCGCATTACCATAGTTCTCTTCAAATAGGACTATATTTAAGTGAGGTAGGAACCTTTTAGTTTGTGCCTGCAATGTTCACACAGGGGAGTGACTGCACAGCACTTAGGTGTAATACTCCTAATTACACCCCCATAGTCCAAACTTTGGAGTAGCGTAGACATGCCCTTAGTTAGCAGGTAGCAGCTTGTGAACACCTCATAGGGAAACTGGCGCATTAGCTGTAAACGTCACACTAGCATTGGAATCCCATTAGCATGGGGCTGCTTGTGGCTGCAGGTTGGCAGCACTGTTTACATATTAAGCAAGACCATGTTTAGGCAAAATTCACATAAATGGCGAAGATGTACTGAAAAGTCACAAGAAATATCTCCTAATCCTTATTTTTCCCTTGCATGCTAAGTTCTGATTTGCTTTCTGGCAGTGTCTTGCAGCATCTTTTTAAAATTTTGCTGTGATTTCATCTCATTTCAAGGCAACAGGAAAATAAGACCATTTTAGACAAATAAAATCCAGGAAATTTCAGAGACATTGCATCAAAAAGCCACACTGAACATTATGAGAAGACAAAACAGGGATACTCAATTTAACAGATGAATTCTTTCAAGAGTAAAATGCAGTTTGTTCTGCTCCCTCATCCCTTCCTTTTAAAATTAATTTTAACAGGGCTTCTTAGTTTAGTACTTAATTATTCATTTTCAAATAATAAACAAAACAGAACTTTATAATGCAATCAACAAAACAAATAGCTGATATTATTATTATTGTATCACTTATATAGCACCAACTGTGTGTTAATACTTTAC